GAGATACTAAGCGCTTCTAGCTCTGCTTGACTGTTTCTAACAGTCAATTAGATATAGAAGTCCAAATACTACGTAAGTGTTAATGGGCCTAAATTCTCCTCCTAGCTCTGATCGGCGGATGTTTTTCCGCCAATGAGATATAGGAGGTTACCATGTAATCTTATCTTTCAAATAGCTCTGTTAGCTATTTAATTTAATATTTTAATGTCTTGGGGTGGTGGGACTACGGCGCACATGTCAACTTTGTATATTTAAATGTTAATTGTACCTTTTTTGTGTGTGGCGCTGTTAATATAAGTTGTTAACTTGAGTGCAGCGTCACACTGTCCTTGTTATGTCTGTATGTTTTGATGAAATAAAAAAAAAAACTTTTCGGGCTTTTTCTCAGGTTGTAACGTTACATGTTATAGGCCTCTATTGAAACAAAATTTGCACCAGCATTTTAGAACCAGCACGCTTGCTGCTGCACGCTGAATGCCATTGATCCCTGCAAAAATAATAAGACCGCTAGAGCTCGCTGCTGCACTACCAATGTAGCAAGTTGACTGCATTACCTGCAAGCTCACTAGTCGTCGCTTTTGCGAGATCGTCGCCAAGGCATCTTTAGAATATACTATTATATCCGTAGGGGTAAGCATTTCTTATCTTAACTTTTATCTAGCTATAAATGTAATAAACGTGTGTATAAAACAGCAAAACGTAATAAAATTGATAGTTTTAACAATTTAATTCTAAAATATTGGAGTTTTTGTTGATATAAGTGATGCTGTTAGTACTACTTAATATTTTGTACCCCTATATTTAGTGGATACGTCCATCAGCTGGGCTTCTGTGGATACAGGGGAATTGCCGCAAAAACGCGGCACACTTCCACGTTGAAAGAAGTAAAATAGTGGGGAGGAAGTTTCTGTTTCGGCTCGGAGAACGTCTTCCGGTGTTCTCAAGATGTCGGGCGAGCACAACGAGAGGTTAATGGTCGGAGACGTCAAAAAGTTCGCCGAAGACGCGAGGAAGATGGTGAACTCACAGGAGTTCAGGTAGGACTTCCTCGCTTTTCATGGAATTTTTGATTCGCTTTGTTGATGTGTATAGTGCAGAATATGCCTGGAACGGTTCAACCTCCTTGCTGGAAGCTGTTTATTGTCAAGATAATTGTATTTTAATAAAAGGGGAGGGGCAGTAAATGGAGGGAGGGAGAGAGGGAAAGGGAAGAGAAAAGAAAAGAAGGAAAGAGGGATAGAGAAAAGACACCCCCCACACACACACTTTCTATATCTCAAGTTGTTCATGTCGAGAAAATACTAGTAGTTCAATCAACTGTGGTTTAGCTGAATTGACTTGTTTATCTAAATTATTCAGATGCGCTTTTGTCAGCTTATTGCACCAAACAAAAGAGTTGACAGCGTGTTAGCGTGTTAGCGTGCAGGGCTCATGTTTCTATTGTTCATGTCTATCACCAAATGGCCAGGGGTTCTCCTGTGTCTGTTAGATCAAGGACATTATGGTTAGATGATGTGCAGAAGATAGTATCCTCGAGAAATTAAACCAAAATTGTTTTTGAAATTCTGTCTGTTACAGCAACATTACACGTTTAGGAAAAGATTTGTCCTTCAAAACCAGTTAAAATACAATACACTACAGTGACAACCTTGACAGACAAAATTAACAAAAATCTTGGGTAAAAATATGATAAATGAAAACATCCAAAGAACCACCAACATCCACTCACAACATGATTTGCCTATCAAAATGCAGGAAATTGCGTTTTGAAGGCTTGAAAATCCAAAATTTCACAGGGAAGCATGCCCCCAGACCCCTAGATTGCGAACACCTTCAGCAGTTGTGGCACTCCCCTCCCCAAATCCAACGATGAACGTGGGCTGCCGGAAAAAAATTCAAGCTGGCTTGAACCCTGGCTCTAATGTCATGTAGTAATTCTATTAATCGCATACTTTTCATGTTTCACAGTGATGTTAAATTTGTCATCGGCGACGAGAGAAGAAACGTGTACGGGCACCGCTGCGTGCTGGGGTCTCGCTGTGAGGTGTTCCGGGTCATGTTTGCCGACCACGAGCAGCGCGGGAAGGACACGACGATGTACCCGTTTGTCTTACAGGACACGAACCCCGACGTCTTCCTCTCCATGTTGGAGTACATCTACACCAGCTGTGTTACACTAGACATGCACTCGGTCAGTAGGGCTGGACTTTCAGCTGTGTTACACTAGACATGCACTCGGTCAGTAGGGCTGGACTTTCAGCTGTGTTACACTAGACATGCACACGGTCAGTAGGGCTGGACTTTCAAGACTTGAAATGTAACAGTGACAACACAAGGGCCTTTGAAGTAGTTTTTTTTACAGTATTTCTATTATTATTTTTATCATCTACAGTACCTAGAAGGGCAAATGCTGAGACACATGTATAATTCTGTTTTACAAACTTGATATACCCAAGGAGTTAGCAATTAAATGTTTGGTTGGTGTAGGCAACTTGCATATATGTGAGCTGATTGTCTCTTTATCATTCAGGCTATTGATGTTCTGGCCATGTCTGTTGGGTATGGACTGGGAGAACTCACCAAGGTCAGTAATATATTATGGTATAGCTTGTATAATGTAACAGTACTGTCAGTTGAATGGCTTATAGTAAATCACATTTACCTGGTTGTATAAATTCACCTGCAAAAAAAGGAAATACATTTGTAGTGACAAACTTTTCATGGAAAGGGACAAAAGGCTTCATGGAATGTACCGGTATTACTTAATGTGGTTGTTCCTGAAATTGGGTGTTGTACGTTTTTAATTATCCTCACAATGCACCAAAATCATTTGGTACTAGTTTATAAAGTAAAGTAAATCAGATGACAAACCCTAACAACTTCTCCTCCCCTCCCCTCCAGCTGTGTGAGAAGTACATCTGTGACTCCCTGTCAATCAACAGTGCCTCGGAGGCCATCCAGGCCGCGGTCACCTACAGTCTGGACGACCTGGGTCAGACCTGTCTCGCCTTCATTGAAGACAACACGTCCGACGTCGTCAAGACCAAGGGCTTCCACGAGCTGTCGGACACGGCGCTGGGCGTGATCCTACAGAGCGATAGACTAGCGCTGGACGAGCCAGACCTGCTGGAAGCTGTGAGGGACTGGGCCACAGTTAACTCTGTACGTTAGATATATATATGTATCAAAATGATATCTTCTGAGGCCACACCAGTTTAATTGATTGGGTCTGAGATTCACCTGCTTAATTTTTTTCTGCTTTCCAAAAATAAAACGATTCAGGTTCTGAATCAACTCCAAAATACTCAAAACAAAACAGTTCAAGAAAGCTCCTTACCTTCTGAGTTGTTACAATTTATCCACCTATCAATGCATTGATTTGATAAAAAGGTTGAGTTCATCGTTTGAGTTATAAACCAGCCTGGTATGTTAACTTCATGGCTCCTATCATAGCTTTCGGGGCCATAGCTTTCAGGGCCATCAAAGGATGCCTATGCCTGTATTTATTTTAATTTTTTTTGCCCTGTCACTTCATATATTTTCTGAAATAATCCGAGAAACAACAAATCAGATTGTTGTGGCCTAAGCACTAAGTTGATATAGGAAGACTAGAATTGTTGGTTACAAACGCTGCTTATAAATCACAAAAAACTACTGCAATTGTTATGACAATTCTTTGTACAATGTACTTTTTGTTTTAACAACGTCAACATATTCCATGTATAAACAGTTAATGCTATACAGACAGTCAGTAATCACAGAGAATGCTCAAAACCTTTCTCAGAAGATTAGTGAGGAACTTGTTCTTTATCTTCTATCTTCTCTGTCCCCCTATCCCCCAGGTTGTGGTGGGTAAGCCCGTGGCAGAAGTAGCGGAGAAAGTCATCGGCCACGTGAGACTGCCGCTCCTCATGCCTGACGAACTCAGCAAGGTCGAGCAGGAAAACAAGGACCAACTCGTTCCTGTAAGTAATTAATGTCAGTAAGTTGCCAAAAAAGGTAAATTAGGGATTAGTTTGGAACTGGTGCTGGTAACTGGTGATTATTAACCATCTGTTGAATCTAACAGTTGATGGTAAGTTAGGTGTGTAGCACCAGGGAATATACTTGGTCTAGTAGTATTCTATAGTGCAGTTTACACCATAGTTGCTAGGGGGTAGTGTTGTACTTCACTCCATTGAGGTTGGTGAATGGAAGTGCAGAAATGAAAATGATTCATATAAGGCACAAATTCTTATTATGCCCTGACTCTTTACTGATTTTACTTTTCATAATTACTCCGTGAAGGAGGTCAGGACCTCCGGACGGAGTGTTGTAATCGGCTGATTTTTCATGTTCGCAGTCAAAACACTGGGTTCTCTTTGTGTAATCGGCACGCAATTTTATACGCCGTCTGCGGGCATGCCCGTGTTGATGCACGAATGTGTATTTTTGCCGTTGCTGCTTTCGCGGTCAATGTAATATCGCAGACGCACCCCTACAATTACGAGGCGAATTGGAATGGTCCAGAAAAACGCGTTGTTTGGAATAGCAGTGGGGTTCAAAAAAGTTCATGCAGATACGGGGTGGTTTTTATAAGTGGTTCCAGATGTTTTTGCCCATGGTTAAGAGATGCCAAGTTTTTTGGAAGATGTTCGCAGCCAAAACGCATTCTTCCGTACGTCGCATTTCTGTGTAATTTCGCATGTGGTGTTGCATTATGTCCGGGATGATGCACGTCTTTTTATTTTTACCGTAGCTGTTTTGATATTGGAGTAAATGCTTATTTTCGAAACATCCCCATTTCTTTGAAATGGTTTCGTCCGTTTATGCAACTGTTACTGCGCTAATGACGACCAGTCGCGCTGTCCTGATACACCGCGAATGTGCGAGTGTTCCCTGTAGACAGTCCCGGGAGTCATTTTTTTCGCACATTCCAGGAGCCAAACCAAAATACGTTCATGAACCGAGTCCAAAAAACCGAAACGTGAAAATCGGATGATCGGACCTGATGTACATTTCTCTTTCTATAGATTGTACACACAATACACACATCTTTTAATAGATAATCTGGCCATGGCAGGTTTAAAAAAAAGTAACCCTGAATCATACTAGATTAGCGTAAATGCATGTTAATGCGTTCAAAACAAGAAAAAAATTGTTTCCGGGTATTAATCTCTTGAATCACGGCGCTGAATATTGACGCAAAAATATTTCGGGCATCGCGCGCCCTTCCCGCGTCACGTGTAGGCATCTCGCATCTCTGATTGGTTGTTGCGTCTTAAGATGACTGAGCCGACGCGCGTTTAAACAATTTTTCTTTGTTCGATTTATCACACTTCACAGAGAATTGTCGCCAATGGCTACTTCTTTTTGTTGCAATATATAATACTTCACGGAGAATTGTCGCCTATGGCTTCTTGTTTCCTTTTTTTTAGTAAATTGCAGCAGGGAGGAACAACAACATTAGATCTACGGGCTGTAATTGTTCATTTCTTGAATCGATTGCTTGATAGCATTGCCTCTAGCGGACAAGGACTGTTCTTCATAATTTCATTTCCTTTTCATGGCTGTCATTTCCCCAAGGTCAAGGTGACCTTTCCTTTGTGGTGCATGCTGGGATGTATGAAAGATGAGGTCATTTGAAGGACTTAGTTCCCTCAGCAATACTTGACAAATACTGCTCAGTCAGACATGAAATCTCACATCAGTTTCAAATCATTTGGTGAACAGGCTTTGATACATAGCAGTGTTTATGCACACTGCTTTGGATGATCATTCAAACATATAACAGGTTTCTAGGTCTGAGATAATGATGGCAGGTTGCTCGATCTTTGTGTCATTTTTGTTCCACGACGTACATTATTTCTTATCCTGAATTTATCATTAAGCGTTATTGATAAATTCTTCATATTCTATATTATTACTAATTGAATGCCAGACTACCAAAAAATCACAATGGAGCGTCTGAGATCCAAAGACTACTTTTCCCAAACACCCCATGAATACAAAATAAAATTTGAAAAAAAGTCAATTTCAAAGCCTTATACAAGACAACTGAATTTCCCACGAAGCATTGCTGGCCTGCCTGAATTTTTTAAGTGTTATCCACCCCTCCAGCAAAACCACATGCAGACCCTCTGACATACTAGTCTAGTGATTCTGCGTTGGCAACTTCAACATCCAGCTTCTTTTTTTCCGCTCACGTCACGGTCTGACCTTGTAAAAGTCTACCTTTGTCTCTGTGGACTCAAACATTCCTGTACTTTTGCCCCTTCCTGCACCTTTACAGAGACGTGGGCATACATTCTAATTGCCATTTGTTGCCCCCCTTCCACCCCTGATCTGTGTGGCAATATTTCACATCAGATTTATCGCAGACTTTGCGTTCCTTTGATCAATCAGGACAGCGGCAGCACTCTTCCCCTGCAATTAACACTAACGGCAGCCGCAATAGATAAAGTATGATACAAGGCATGATTCCACTGTGATCAGTTGTCTGGAGAATAATTATTGAAGATCAATAAAACTATGGCAGGACTGGTAATACCATGATGTATCAAGGACACTTGGAAAGTCAACTCAAATCCTGTATATATAAAGATGGATGGATCTGATTTTTGATGTCTGTAAGTTAAAAAAACTTAGAGTAAGATCTGAGACACATAACTTGGATTTCTGAATCTTTACCAAGGATTTTTTTTCAAACAAATACTATACATTAAATGATTAAATGTGCAATAACTGTACAGACATGTAATACCAATTGTACAGCAATTATTTTTAAAGTTTGATTGCAGATGGATCATTTATAGGTGTTATTTTAATTTTGTTTCTTTGACAGATGCTAGTATGCTGTCTCCTTTACTTTTAAGAAAGTATCTAAAAGTTATAGACTTTTGCTTTAAGTTTTCTTAAATCTATGCTGATTTATGACCTGACATTCTTTCTGCAAGACCGGAATCAGTCCAGTACATTGAAGAGGTAATGGCTTATTTTGTATGACGACCTGAATGCAGGAAACTCACACCTTCAAAGGTTCTCTCAAAACAGCTAGTCTCGGTTGTAGAGCAGGATTTGCACTTCAGAAGACTCTGTGACAAACCTTGCATCTCCATGCCTTTAACTCTATAACAAGATAACACACAGCATCTTGTGGGGATTGCAGCCCAGGATATAAGTCATCAGGCGGGTCTTTGTACTGTCAGGGGAGCTTGTACAGAGTCGTTTGTCATTTGGATGGGTGATAAGGGGTCTTGGACAGGTCAGTAACTCAGGAGGAGGTACTATAAATCATGAAATATTCACAGTGGGTGGAAATATTCCCAAATGTTCAAGGTTTTTGTGCTGATCTTTCTCAGCGTGAGTGAGTGACTCAGAGTGAGTGAGTGAGTGAGTGAGTGAGTGAGTCCATTGATGCAAGCTACCATTGCACTGTCTTTCATAGCTTCCTCCCTTGAGCCATCTAAGCTTCCAAGTCTTGCTTAACTGTTCTCGTTCTGAATGTATTTCATGACATAAACACTATCATGAGTTGGGATCATAAACATCTAACTACTGTCCCTCTCCTGTCACCTCACCTCACCTCACCTATATCCCTTGACCTCGTTGAGGGTCGTTGGGGCACCATGACTTAGTCCACTATCCTCCTCCATTTAACCCTGTCCTCCGCCACTCTTATGGCTTCAAATAAGTTCAATCAAATCCATTCTTTCATATTGTTTCATATTTATATCTCCTGTCACCAGGTGGAACAAATCTCCTTCACCTGGAAGTTCCACGCCATGAAGACACCGGAGACTGGAAACCCCATCTTCAGGCTCCGCCGTGGCACAGTGGATAGAGAACACCACAAAGTACTGCCCAAGAAGGCTGACAAGTAGACTACAGGCCTTTCTTTAACATATAGCAAATTTTATACCATCTCACTCTCTTATAATATAGGTAGTCACCAGAATATCAACCTTCGATCCAGCCTTGTCAGACTTTTATCTTTTTCTCCTTCTCCTCTTGTACTTTTGCCTGCTTCCTCCTAGTTACCACCGTGGCTTCCATAAAAAGCTTTGAGAGTCAGACCTCAAATTTGATATAACTCAATGCCCTCAGACAGGCTTTTCAATGATAGCAGCTATATCTTTTTAACAGATACTGGTTGTACTTACTTTGAAGTGCAGGAAAGAAATGGCTACTTTGTATAAAAGATACTGTTAGGTATGTTTTTTTCATAGCTTTGAATGATAGCTGTATAGAATTCACTGTCTCAGTACATACTAGTATTACATGTTTGTTCTGTACAGTACGGTTACCGTAATGCACTGCATCAGATATTTTGAATCAGCTGGCATAATTTGCAAGTATATTAGATAACCAAAATGTAGGCAATAGATATGAACAGGAAGTTCTGAAAGCTACTCTATCTGTACATTGGCATAAAAGGATCGGCATAAAAGCTATATAAATCAAGAAGAGTAAAAATTGGAATTAGAGGCTATTGAAAGATATTACATACAATTCACCCTCTAGCAATGGCTTAGATTTTATTGAAACGTAAATTATACATGATTAGGACCATCTATGATACACATATCAAAATTTATGTTTTCAATCCAGATAATTTTAAGCTGTATTTTTTTTGTAAATTTGATACAATCATGCAATGTGTATATAGAGATTTAGATGTATTTAAACTTCTCATATGAAGTAACTATGCAAATAGTGTTGTAGATATGCTGCTGCTAATGTTTTTTTTCATGAGTTAACTAGTACTAATATATTAATATATAGTATTGCTGTCACTGTGTAAGAAAGCCATACTTTACATTTTATGGACAAGTGCCTGAAAACCAAGTTCATGCATACATAACAAACTCATTTTGGTTTTGTTTCTATTTATTTTGTGTACTGTTTTCATTTGGCCACAATATTTTGTCCCCAAGGATAGATTTATTGTTAATATTATATTCCCAGGCATTGAATCAGATGTAAATAATTTGGTTTATTTATGGTTTAATTAAGTACAAATGTGATAAAACACAGACAATGACAGCTCATAGTATCAAACCTAAACTAAATCAAATTGCATACATCCATAACAAGCTATGCAACATTAAAATTATTCAAGGATATTTGCTTGTTCCTGGTGAAAAAAATAAAACATTTTCCTGGGTAAAAATGAAAGACTGTGTTCTGAATTTTAGGAAACACTAGGTTTTATACTCAGATTTGTTTGTCTGTATGTCATCCAACCTGGCTGCTTTGGACAAATAACCAGATTTTTAGAAACAGCGCAATCGTCAGCAGGGAGCCAGCAATACATGTTGTCTGGTCCACATCGTACCATAACACTTGATTGCTTGCTGAGATACCACCGAACATGTTCAACCTACAGCAACTTTAAAGCCACCCGCAGGAAATGGGACCACATTTCCATACGAAATGCCGCCATAAACCTCCTTTATAGCCATTTTATGATGTTTTGTGCGTTCAATAGATTGGTGGAATTTCTAAACCGGGAAATCAGAGAGCCCATTATGCAGAGGCAAAAGACGTAAAGATCTGGGAAGTAGATAGCATTGCACTCAGAACTGTCGTTTCAAGTCAACATAACAATTTATCTCCAAGACAATCTTTTTTGAATTCAGTAACGTTACACATGACCTCTCCTTTGAGATTCTTGAAAGAGATTTTGAATAGGGTGTGTCAACTTGCCAACTGACGCCTCAAGACAGAAATACAAGTTAGTACTTGTCCCAAAAATATTATATGCCGGTAACATTACTTTGTGTGAATGAATATGGGGATTAATATCTACATGTAAGGCAGTGGTGGCTTTCATCGCAGGAAATGCTGGAAAGCTATACAAATCTTGGCCTTTCAAACTGGCGCCATTTCCTACCTGCATCATCTGATTTCATTGTAGATTGCAGTCGGAATCTCGCTAGCGATACATTTCATATCGACAGGTCAGCAGCAGTATAAGATGACAGATTGTTTGAGATTTATGATTACCGACGATACTGATCAATATTCTCTTCATCATGCATACATATCTTAGACTGCCTTAGATACAACCACCTTGTTATTGAAATACCTCAGAAGTTGGTAGCCTCCATAGCATGCCAAAAACTGGGGGTTTGGGGGGTCTTCGTGGTCTTTGGGAGCTTTTATGTACTATTTTCTGATTGCATAATATAGACAAGATAGCTGGCCTGGTTGAATTACCCCGTTTTTAGAACTGGGCTAATCAGAAAACAGCCAAACACCTTCAAACCCCCAGTTCTATAAGCCTGCTACGGAAGCTAAGAAGTTGGTATTACAGAACATAGGATGGACTGTAGCCTAATATGTTACCAGTAGCAAGTACTGGTAGCACTCAGTCAGGAATCAGAACGCTGCCAGGATTCAAACCCTTTGGTTCTAAAGCAGGAGTGAAACAACTGGCTGTGGTTTTCAACAGCTGCACTACTCTACATGTCCTGTTATAACATGTTGGATCCCTCCCGTTGTCCCAGATCTTGTCACGATTATTTATTTCATTACCAAGTCTGGCCCGAGTGTTTTACGGACCATGATATAGTGAAAATTGAATTTTAGAATTACGGCGCCATAATTCATTACTGGAGAGGGACTCTGTGTCTCAAAAGTGTGTCATTGATGACAACGAAGATTGAATAATCAATACTTGTACATATATTGTGTCTGCATGCACTTGAAACAAGTATACATGTACTTGTGGGAGAGTATACCAGTTTTATTTCCAAGCAGATGTATGGAGGCAAGATTCAAGACTAACCCTGTTTGAGACAGACTTTACAAGGCACTTATGTCCAAAATCGGCTGAATGTAAAAAAGAGAGAACGGAGGGTAGTAAAAAATTGCGATGATCTGGTTGGTTCTACTACATTATCGCAGGCTAATTACAGACAACAGATGGTGCTGAGATGACATCATCTACAGTCTAATACCTGCATTCTTATATATGCTAACTGTGACATGTCAGAAATCATCTAGCCATATAAGGAAATGATGTTATCACAGAGGGACTGATCAATAGTTATCTATAGACTCTTTTGCAGGCTGAATAAATAGAAGAAATCAGCCTAAAAAGAATGTAGCTGGACAGGGGATTTTGCTGGCCATAGTGGGTCCAGCTACATTCTTTTTAGGCGAATTTCTACTATTTATTCAGCTTGGTGGAGACTAAGTTATCTACAGGTTTGTGGTAAAGCATCAGGCATCACCACTCAGTTATTGAGGGGAGGGGCAATGACCTTGTGGCTGATGTAAGATGGATGAACAGAAAGTTTGTGTTATCAGGAGTTTCATCTGGCCATGGTCAGACTCTGGTCTAATGAACAGTGCTCACCATACATCATGGACAACCACGTGACCCCGGGGGTTAGTCTCTACCCCGGGGGCTATGGGCTAATTACGCTACAGAGGCCAGAGATGAATGAGCCACCTACAAAATCTAATAATCTACCAGGCAATATTGCGCACTTGTAGAAAATCAAGACAGATTGGGCGACTACGACCAAGCAACCTTCGGCATTGTAAATATGTTACTCCTATTTTCATTATTTCTTACTTTATCATTTGTCATTCTTTCATCCATTCCTCAGTAGTCTATATTGACTATTTCTGTTCTTTTGTTCTCATTTTCTTCTTTTTCCCCCATTTTTTATTCTTCCTCACTTTCTATAGATCATCTTCCATTGTTTCAGCATCACTTCACCTTTCAAAAAGTCTCCCTCTGTTGACTGTTTCTACTACTACTTAAAGCTTATTCGTCCAAATATGTGACCATATATATAGCATTATGTTAGACACATACCAACTAGTAATCTTATTATTTGCCATACATTGTACCCGTGACAATCGTTGTGCAATAAACTTTGACTTGACTTGTTCTACCCATTAAATCATTTGCTATCTGATTCTGCAATGTATACCACGGGCTACCACATGACCAGTGGCTCTGACATATCAATTTGGAGAAAAATTAATTTTGTAAACCAAACTCATAGGCAACTCGGGTAAGTTCCAGCAGTAGCCCATTGGTTATTCCCCTCACCTACTGTCTGGCTATACACACAATCCCAGCCAAAGGTCTTGGATAATGTTTCTATATACAGCAATTCTGGCTAAATCTCTCCATTCATTCTTATCAAAATATGCCATATTGTTTTATATACTCTTTTTATCATCCCATTTGCTGCATCAGCATTAATAAAATGCATTTCCTCTGAAAGCTTTTGAACAATTTATTTGTAACTGAATGCTTTAAATCTTTATTCTTACTACACTGTCCGTGAAAGTCCCCATAACACGTTATCTATACTTGTTTCCATATGTATATACTTGGTGCTTCCAACCATTGAGGTTATCTTTAATTGGGAAGAGATTCAAATTTAAAACAAAAACTTGGAATCAAAATAGTCACTTGCTACTGTTCTCCACTGTAATTGCCTGTTGACTTATACAACAGTTCATTGTGGTTAGCTGTGTGACAGTGGGCTTGTATTATGATGGCCTTCGTGTCAGCCAAAATTCATTACTGTCGTCCTATCTCTATCCCACACACGCACACTGTCTGAACACCACATGTACATGTATAATCATCCCACGTGCACGCATGTGGGCAATGTGGTGAGGCATAGGAAAATGTTGTGTTTCCTGTTTCCCGACCTACCCTAGAAAAACCTGCCAACCCTAGACGTTTTTGGGGGTGGATCCCTGCAAAGGACATAAAATAATTAATTTTCGAGCTGAACAACCTTTTCTAGCTCCATGATCTGACACCTGAGTGATAAAATGTTGTACAATTGGTTTTCTAACATTGACATTGAAAATTAAGTGTCCTCGTGCAAGTTTTATTTTGTTAAACTGTATTGTTTAAGTTAGGCCCCTATATTTCACTGAAGTCTAAAAAAAAAGAAACAATCCCTACCTACTGACCCTAATTTTTTCAGGACTGAAACAGGAAACACAAAAACATTTTTTCCTAGGCCTGATTAGATATGGACTTCGCTGCCCTTCTTGTGGAAAATTGGAGATCCGTGTATTTAATTTTCAATCACTGCAACCTTCCAATCTCATCCTTATCATCCTTAGGGATTACATCTTGTTTCAATTATTTTTGAACTACAACTTCATAAGTAGTTTAGGTGTACCTTATCTAATTACTACTTTTAATGACTGGTTTAGTAGATGAAGTGACTTTTGTTACAGGATACGTTGCACAAGGTGTTTGGCTGGAATTATGCTGGTTGCCATACATGAATCAAAATATCAAATATTTTTACTTTGCTGTACTATTAATTATGTTTACCGAAGGAAAACATATTCAACTTGTTTTTGCTCTGTTTCTTCTTCTTCCATTCCAAATACTGATCTCCAGACTGTCACCATGGTAACTGATGTTGAGTTAATAATGTTGCAATTTTATAGTAGGAGGGATTTAGACTCCTGTCACCATATATGTGAATGAGTAAGAATTAATAGAGTGGACCATATGCTTTGCAAATGTTACCTGTCTAGTTATCTTTACACCAACTCCCATAGAATACAAATAGCTCCAATAACAGTAATTGTAGCGCTTAAACTATGAAGACTGTCATTCAGGCAAATGAGAGAAGCCTGAGAATAGGAGATAGCGAAGTAGGCAACACTTTTCATGTAGGGGATGTTTTTCATGGTCTGTTGGTGAAGCCTAACGTTATAACATTTCTAGTGTAAAAGTGAACTTGAAAAGTAGCATATTGATTTCATGAAGGTCAAGTAATATGCATGTGCTAACTGATGGATTACTACCTCTTTGTAAGAAATATATCATAAAATTTCTAATTGTCACTCTTGGGGCGGGATGGGAGGGGGGCTGAGACTTCTGACATTTGGGACGAGTCTGCAAAAACACGATATTGAGGCTGACGCCGCACGTTCCCAGGGTTCCCAGCCATGTCTTACTTTAACGATGTCGTCTGGGC